AAGTGAAATAAAACTTTTCACTCCACTGATGCTGCCACTGCATGAAAACATCATACAATCAAAATAGTTTAGAGAACAGAGTCTTGGGGAAAACCTAGTAAAATCTTTCCCTAAAAACCTGAAAGCTTTTCAGAGCTTCTTCCTGTAAGGGAAAAATTAGATTCATCTGGAAATAACATCTATCAGTATGGGAAAATCACCTGTAATTGCTCTAAATAAAAACAAAAATCCTCTTGGAATATGGGAAATCCTCTTTGCTAGTCCTGTCTCTCCTCCAAGCTACTAAAAACAGCAGCCAGAATCCCCTATGCCTGAGAAGGTGCAGGCAGAAAGCTGAGCAGGGGCGGCATCCCCCAAGGTGGAGCTGTGGCAGAAGCAGAGCAGGACCCAAGGACGGACTGCTGCTAAGGCATCAGGGACTCTACATCTTGGGGAAGGAAAAAAGCAGGGATAAGCAGAGGATCTATGGGGGGGGCGGAATCTAACTGAAAAGGCTTTATTTATTTTTATTTATTTATTTATTTCAAGTGCTTTCATTTTCTTACACTGACCTGGAAAGGGAGGGGAGCAAGCCACGAGGGGTTTTTGCTTCTGGCACCAAAGCACCTGTCCAAATGAGTGTGGGTGGATGGATGTGGCCCGCTCCAGGAAAAGTGTCAGGTGAAGAAAATATATCTATCAATGCCAGCTCAGGGAGAACAGAAATCTCCCATGGTAAAAGGGCAAAATCTTGATTCAAAAACCTCCTGTGGTAAAAACAAAAGCTTGAATATAGACCATGTGAACAGAAGTTTTCTCCTGGACCCAGAAATGTTGTTTGTTCATAACAGTGTGACCATATAGAGAAAGGCAGTTTGGGAAATGTAGTCCATAAAAGAGATACTGTTACTGCACTGCCCCAAAACTCTGTGTTTTCAGTGGTTTTTAAGCTCAAAATGCTATTTTTTTCCACAAGCTTTGTTAACTTGCCTCCTGGGGATGAGAAACAGGTAAACAGTTTGCCTGTCAGGTGGGAATTATTTGCTATGAAAAAGCAAGATGGTAAAGTGAATATAAAACAGGCGTTTCTTATAGTCCTCAAGGACAAGGCATAATGGAAAGAACCCATGGCTTTAAAAAATTAAGAAGGGGGAAATTGTCCCCTCAGAAGCTTGCTGGCTGCCTGAGTTTGATATGATGTGTGGAACAGAGAAATGTCAGCTCCAATGATGCTCCTCCAGAAGAACTGGAATAACTTTCAGAATGATGTTAAAGCTGACCATGAACTCTGAACTTTCAGAAATAAAGTAGTATTGAGCTCACTTATAATTTTTTCTATTACTCATGATTTGCATACTATCTGTCTTGTTGAAAGAAAATAAGTTAGTTCTGCTGAGAGATTCTTTCTAGATGTTTGCTAAAGTTTATAAAATAGTTCTATAGAGTTTCTTTTTTAATATAAGTTTGGTAAATAGTTCTTCTAAGAAATCTCTTCTAGATATGTGCTAAAATTTGGAAAATAGTCCTATAGTTTCCTTTTGAATATAAGTTTGTAAAAAGTGTAAATGTTGAATGTAAGTCTAAATTGTTGAATGTAAGTCTGTAAAAAGTGTAAATGTTGAAAGTATAAATGTTAAATGTTAAATGTAAGTTTATACTAGAATTGTTTTTATTACATCATCAATTCAATATCTGTCTAGTCTGGACAAAGTAAATAACATTAATTTTTAAAAGATAAACTAAATCAATCACATTAGAAGCATCTTGAAATTTTTATTACTCTCTTACCTTTAGACATATTTGAATACTTTTTATGATAGCTTAAAATATAATTTTTATTATCTCAGTGGCCCCTGGAAAACTTAAGTGAAGATGTTATAATTAGGGGAACTATTCTGTCTTCCAAAAAGTTTCCACTCTGTCTGTTTCTGTTTAGAAAGGGGTAGGCCTCCCGCAAAGAGGTAAGCCTCCCACAATCGAGTTAGTTAATACAGAAATTCTACTGCTGTGCTAGGGGCACATGTATAAATGAGGTACTAAACAGATAAAAGTGTTTTTATAATCAGCATGGGTTTTTGTTTACTTGAGTGGATACTTTGAAATGATTTGAAATGGCTGTTTTCTCCTGGGAATCAAAATAGTCTCTTAAAAGTTTTATTGAACATCTGGGGGAAAGGCTTGGTGCAGCTAAGACTGCTGTAATCACCTTAGACTCATTCCAATAAGAATATTCCATCTTTATTATCCTTTACTGGGAGGTGTGAAAGCTGTGGAAATCGATGTGGATGTTTGCAAGCTCAGTAGGGACCAGGGCCAGAGCTGAGTTAAGCTCTGTACTGCCTCCTGCTAGAGGCTGGTAGCCAAAGATGGGCTTGATAACTCCATGGATGTATGAATGTAAAATTAATCAAGAAGGATACCCTAATACAGGCATAGTCTATCTGAGAGGTCTGGGGGGCCCTATTTTATATCAATAAGGGGGAATTATAGAGGCCCACAAAGGTTTCCTGGTAAGATCTGAGCTTGCTTTACCCAGGAGAGCTGAATTAGAGGATTGCTTGACCGTGCATGGTTTCTGGATAATTGGAAGGGTCTACACGTGGCTGAGCTAGGGGGAGGTCTTTTCCTCCACCCATTGGTATTTTTATAAATAGCCCTTTAGAAGAGACAGGAGGGGCCAGTAGCTAAGGATCCAGGTTCTCCCAAGGCTATCCTGTGTTTCTATCCATTTCTCTGCCCTCTATACTTCTATCTAAATCTCTTATCCCTCACTCCTCAAGAGTACCCTGGGGTACAATGTGGGAGCCAGTCTCCCAGCTGGGCTCCCACACCCCTCATTAAGGAAACTTCTCTTTGCATTAGACAGAGACCATTACAGAAAGCCACATTAAATTTAAACCACATTAAAATTAAATTAAAATAAAACCATATTCAATTAAAATTAAAATGCAGAGTTGTGGAGACCAGCTTCAGTGTATACATTTATAAAACACCTCCTGCACCTAAGGCTCAGGGGACATAGAAGAGGGGATGGAAAGATTGTATGAACCAGAGGATTAGGGGGTTTGCTATGAGACTGTGTCTCCTAGTAATGTCAGAAGTTACACCATAAAGTCTCACTAGCATGACTGCATAAACATGATTTGAACAAGGGCAATAATAGACATATCAAACAAAACAGAAGAAAGCCCATGAGACCTCAACACTACACAAAGAACTGCAGGCAACTAAGAAATGCTGAGAGTAGAAGAAATAAATATTCTTCCCCAGGGAAAAGCAGACTAATTGGTTGTCCAATGACAAATGGTCAGACCTAAAAACATATACAAAAGTAACATTATGCAGACAGAGCAGGTTATAGTTAGAAATATATATGTAATATATATATATCAGTAAATAATGGAAAAAGAGGCCATGAATTTGAAAGAAAGCAAGGGAAGGTTTGGTGGGATGAAAGGAAATAGAGAAATTATATAATTGCATTACAGTCTCAAAAATAAAAGGAAAATGTATAAAAAGATACATTGTATGGAATTTTTAAGACAATAAAAATATGAATTTTAAAAATGGACTGAATGAAACATTAAAATTGGAAAAATTCTAGCAACTATGTAAAGCAACATTACAGTAATGTCTTAGAATATGATATTTTTAAAGAGAGCTTGAAGTTGGGCTTTATATATAGGAAGAAAGGAATGTATATTCCTAACCATGTCTAAGTTACTGTCCAATTCCCAAGTGGTCTCCATAGGTCCTTAACAACACTCATATGCTGCAGGGAAAATGTTCCACTCAGCATAGGAGGCTACTCCTGAATGAGAAGATATTCTTTTAACTAAACCAACTTACTATGGCATCCATCTTTTCATCAGTATGACCATTCAGCAAAGTCATATGACTCATACTGGGATGAGGCATTTTGGCCATTGGAAGATTCCTCATCTTGTGTCTGTACATATGGCCACCCTAATTACAGGGATATATGTGATACTCTTTGGGAAAGATTATTTCATTTTTTCCTAGAAAGTTCTTTTATTTATTTGTTTTTGGTTTTTGAGACAGGGTTTCTCTATGTAGTCCTGGCTGGACCAAAGCTTGCTATGAAACCAAGCTGGCCTTGAACTCACAGAGATTCTCCTACCTCTGCCTCGTGAATGCTAGGATCAAAAGTGTGCACCACTATACTGGCTGAAATTCTAAAGAAATATTTTTAATCCCAGCACTCAAAGGGAGAGATAGGTGGATCTCTGAGTTCTAGGCCAGCCTGGTCTACATAGTGAGTTCTAGAACAGCCAGAGCTACACAAAAAAAAACCCTATCTTGGAAAAAAAAAATGAAATGTTTCAAATAATGGTTTTTCTCATCTGACCCACTAATAAACATATCAAATATATTTGATAAAATTTGCTTCTGATTTCAGTTTTAATTATGGATTCAATAAAGGGAGTTGCAGTTGGGTAGGGGAGATAGTAGCCATAAATACAATCATTCAGAAATCAGACCTAGATGGCATACATTTTCAGGATATCAGGAAATATTGGCTAAACTAGAGATTTGACCCTATATCCATATTGCCAATGAAAATTGGCTTTTTTTCAACTAAGTCACTGCACTGTTTATTTTCATAAGGGACATGAAAATCAACCTAAGAACAGATTTTTAAAATGTAAATTATTTTCTTGGTATATCTAACATGAAGAAAGCAACACACTGCTGTCTCATCCATCCAAATACCTTCAAATCAGCCAACATAATTAACAGCAGCTGTCTCCTGACAAAACCATTGACAGTCTTCCTCTAGAGGTCCTTGTGGCTCAAGAAGGCACACATGTGACTCCCTGCTTGATGCCTATGGTGCTGTGCTGCAACCTCTGCTGTGAAACAGGGGAGCAGACATCCCACAGGTGATGGGAACAGGTGTCTGGGTTCCGCATCCTATAGTCTTTCTGCTGGCATGGCTGGAAGAAAGAGCCTGAAGAGTCTAGAAGCGTCTAAGGAGCAAACACTCGACTTCCGATTACCTTATTTAATTCTTGTTGAGTTCTCTGGAGTTCTTCTGTCTCCTGCTTCTCTTTTTCTTGCATTTCCAATTCCAGTTGGAATGCCAGCTGCTGCTGAAGAGTCACAAGTATTTAAATCATACGGCAGTGATAAGAGAACAATAGCTAGAAATCAACCCTACCACTCTTTGTGTGTCTGTCTGTCTGTCTGTTTGCTTGTTTTAGATAGGTCTTGCCTATGTAGCCCAGATGGGATTCTAACTCGTAAGGATCCTCTTGCCTCCACCTCTCTAGTGCTGACATTCCTGGAAACACCAAACCTGCTTATGTGTCACTTTTAAGTCCCCACCTAAATTTTGGAAAACCAGAAAAATGATTATATTCAAATAATACTCAGCTTCTACAATGATTTATTTCCTTAAGCATAAAAAAATGACATTTCTTTAATTGCCAAAAGTAGGAAGTGGTGGAAACAGAGTCAAGTTATGTCTCTTTTGTTCTTAAAACTACAAATAAGACTAGAGTGATTTTTCTGAGATGAGATCTTTATAAGTTTGGCTGGGAGAGAACCAACTCTATGATGCAAAGCAGTGAGTGAGAACAGTCTGATGACCATGAAAGTGTGTATCTGTAAACACCGCTGATCAACAGCATGCTTGGTCCTAATGCAGCATGCATGTCACACTAGAATAGATGTCAGCAATAAAGCCTGTGGACCAAATGGGATACAACCCCTGTTTGGGTGCAGCTCAGAAGCCAAGAATATCATGTACATTCTGCAATGGTTGAGGGAAAATGAAATCAAAAGAATAGTAATATATGAAAGTTATATAACATCCAAGTTTCAGGATCTATAAATAAAGTTTTGTTGATATGCAGCTAGGCTCATTCGATTGTGAATTGTCTATGACTGCTTTTTGCTGGCAACAAAAGAGCAAAGCAGTCATTATAAAAGGTCACATGTGGCGTCACTGTGGCACTACAAATCAGATAACACTGCACACCAATAGTGTTTGGAGTGTCCTGATATCACTATGCTGTGGCAATTAAAAAATTGATACCATCACAAAGCTGGATGCAGTGACACACACTTGTAGTTCGAGCCTTTAAGAACTTAAGACAGGAGAATCTGAAGTTGGAGACTGATTTGGGCTAATATATTGAGACCTTGTCACAAAGAAACAAACAATAATAAAAGAAGATATGGCTGTTGACTGACACACTTTAAAGACAAAATGGGGCATGCAAAGATTTTTACCTCAATAGCAAAATGCAATTTCGTTTTGTTCAATATAATGACACTGCACTAAAAGAATGCAACAAACATCATTCACAGATGATGCACATGTCACAATACTCTTAACTCACTTAACTTAACTTTGAAAGCAAAGGTCAAGGGTCATCAGACAGCTAAGTGGGTAAAAGCATTGTTGGTGAGCCTTACAACCTGAGTTGCATGCCCATAACCCCTGCAAAAGAGCAAGAAGAGAACCAACCCACAAAGTTGCCCTCTGACCTCCACGCATGGGCCACGGTGTGCACGTGTTCTGCTTCCCACCCCTGCACAAACCACACACACATACACCCTCACAATGATATTTTAAATTTAAAAAAGAAAGCAAATGTTAAAAATAGAAAATTTAAGACTGATTCCTCTTATCACTGCAGAATTTCTTCAAAAAAAATTAAAACAAGCTTGCAAAAATATGAAGTATCTAAGTAATTTATTTGTTCTCAAAGTGAGGAATGACATTTGCCAATGTGAGTTAATTTGAACAGCATTGATTTACATACTCAAAGATATGTGTCCCCCTGCAAATTAGTTTTTTTAGCTCGTTGGACTCCTAGTGAGAAAGCTAGATCTTAGGTCTCAAACCTGAGACAAATGGCTAACATATCAAAGTGGACTTGGCCACCAGGTTCTCCCAGCATCCCTCATTCCCTACCTGTTAGAGAGTATGGCCAGTGAACTCCACCCCCTATTCTAAACTTTTCTATCCCAGGGGTGGGGTGCCCTTCCTTCAGCTGCCTTTCTCTCTATAATCCAGATATTTTGGTTACCAGGCCTTTTTTGTCTACCCTCTGCTGTCCTGGCTCTCCCCTCCTCCCTCTCCTCACATGGCCCAGCTCAGGGTCATGTTCACTCTAGACTCTCACTGATGTCTCTGCCTCTGGCTATACTCTACCTATAAACTTTCTCTTCCACCATACCTAGGAGCAGTAATGTCCTTCTTTTTTTTTTTCCTTTCTTTTCTTTTCTTTTCTTTTTTTTCATTCACTGATCAATTTGTTGACACTGGGAGCAATATTAGATGTCCACTAAAAACAAGTTAAATGCTTTTGAGAGTTTTCTCTCAGCTGTTGTTGTTTTTTGTTTGCTTGCTTTATTTTATTTTTTGACAGTCTCACCATGTAACCCAGGCTGACCTGGAACTTCAGATTCTCCTGCCTCTGCCTTCCCAGGGCAGGGATTGTAGCGGTGCACCCAGATTTTTCTCTGGCTTTTGTTTAGGAGAGGATGTTCCCAACGTGCCCACAAGTTACTCCTTGAAAGCATCAGTGCTGAGTTGGAAATGACCTCAAGGAAGAAGCCAAATCCTCAGCTTCCAACTCAGACACTTCTGAGAGCATAAGAGAACACTCAGCCGCTTCTTATCTTAACCCACTCCCTGTTAAGCCCTTTTGGTTCAGCTCTCCTTCTCCCATCTACTTCTGCCCTCCAATCCACTTCTTTAATTAGCCTTAACATCACCTGTAGAATGTTACCATACATTCCACACCCGCTGCAAATGAAATGCTTTGGGTTCAACACACAGCAGATTAGCTTTGCTGGCTAACATGGCTAGGCAAATATCTAATTTCTAGTGTAACTAAATTTTATTCCAGTAGGATGAAGTAGACGCATCAAAAAAAAACGAAGTCTATTTCCATAATGAACCCATTGTCTCAGGGACACAGAACATCTGAGACTTCCTGCTTCTCTTCAGTAGAGATAAATCAGCAGTAGAGAAGGACAGGTCCAGTGGATAGCACTGTTATGAATGCTTGGTCTCCAAATGCTACATCATCCAGATTGAGTATCTTGTTTCAGAAATGCTTAGGACCAGAAGTGGCTCAGATCTCATATTTTTGAGATATTTACATATCTGTAATAAGATGCCTTACATATGGCACCCAAGACTAAACATGAAATTCAATTCTATTTTACCTTCTACCTAAAAGTAAACATATACCATATTTTATTATTTTTTATGTGAAACAAAGTTTAACAATGTGGAATTTTCCACTCCTTGACACCATGTAAGCACACAAAAGTTTTCATGTTTAGAGACATTTTTGGATTTTTTTTTTAAGGTTAGAGATGTTCAACACATAAAGCTTGGTCAACCCACTCTTCCATTCTCCTAAGGTATTACTTCAAACTTTCACCATTCTTTCCATCCCTCCTACCTCATTACTTGATTCTTAAGTGTGTGGTCATGGTTGATTCTAAAGAAGATAGAAACAGTCACACCAAGTCAGCTGTCAACTTTATGTCACAAGACAATACAGCCACCTATATCTAGGCCACCTATGCTTCATCTCCGAGCTCCAATAAAAGAAGGACTCATCCACTTGTTTTCCAGAACCACTTTCTCTTATTGATATGGACAGAAGGTTCTAGTTTATTTTTTCTAATGTCACACATTGTGCTCCATGTGTTCCTAAATCAAAACAAAACCCATTGCCCTTCCCCTCACAAACTCCCTGACAGCATAATGCTCACTCACCGTCCCCCTTCTTACCCACTGTACTCTACCCTCTCCACTGTTCCTGGAATGATTGTCTGGGCTTTGAATGAGCACCAGCTCAGGAGTGGTGCTGTTGACTATTGTCCCATTGGCTTCCACAAAAATATACTTCCTGGGTTGCCAGTTACCTCATGGCACTGCCTCTACACCAGAGAAGGATGGTGATACTAGGGAGAAATGTCTAAGTGACCAGAGCCAGGAGTATTTCAGGATGTGGGTTGTACCACACCAAGGGTGACACTGTTAACTTCAGTCACATTTGAGCTCTTTTCTCACCTGCTGAAACAAGAGTTCTTCTGCTTTAAGTCGCTCCAGCATTTCCTGTTCCATCATCGCTAATTCTCTCTCATGCTCCAACTCAATCATCTCTCTCTGTCTCTAGCAGTTGGTAAAAAGCAACAGCACACAACTTATTAGAGACCAATCTGTCAATGCAATCTCAGAAGCATCTCAACTACCAGCAATAGAAGAAGGGTTAAGAAAATGATGTTCTGTTCATTTGGAAACTATACATCAGTTTGGGGGAGTTTTATGCATTAGCCAAACAAAGAATGCACAATTGAGATTATATGTTGAATACAAAGAAAAAAAAGTAGAAAAAGAAAACCAATCTACAGGCAAACATGTCAGAAAAAGACAATACTGGGAAGAAAATATTTAAAAATAAAACTGAAGCTTTCTTTCCATTTTCACTGCTCTCTGCATTCACATATTGTCCAAAGTGTTTATATAATAGAGATTTTTATAATAGAAAAACAAAATTGAACATAAAATTATAGACAAGATGAACCAATTATCATGCTCTTCTAATTTCCTAAAAGGAAATCCATATTTACCAATTGCTCCATGGTCACATTTTCCTTGTACTTATAAATCCACAAGGCCAAATATTCGATTGGATCCAATGGGCGAACTCTTGCCACCTCTGCGAGGCCTTGAGTTAGGCATGTCCCCAGGCACCTCTGAAGGTATATCGACTCCATTTCTAGCTCCTAAATAAAATCACCTACAAAAGTTTTTCATTAGAGCCAAAAGTGTTCTGAGTAGGCACGGGTAAGAATAAAGTCAAGCTAAGCTGTGGTGGCATTCCCCTATAATCCCTGGACTCTGGAGGCAGGCAGAGGCAAAGCAGATCTCTGAGTTTAAGGCCAGAGTGAGTTTCAGGACAGCCATGGACACACAGAGAAAGCCTGCTCCCCTCCCCCCCCAAAAAAAAGAGTAAAGTCTAGGCCGGGCGGTGGTGGCGCACGCCTTTAATCCCAGCACTCGGGAGGCAGAGCCAGGCGGATCTCTGTGAGTTCGAGGCCAGCCTGGGCT